TTGCGTGCCTTACCGGCTGAGGCTAGGCCGCTGGATGAAGTCAAAACTCTATTGTTTTTTATGAAACTGAACTATATTCCTCTCCGAATTTCACCTTTCACCATCTACCTACCACCAAAAAAAAAAAAAAAAAAAAAAAAAACCATCTACCTACCACTAGTCCTAAACCTATACAGAGGACCTTTGCAAGCATAGCTACCTCTCACAATTAAGGGGGTGCATGCTGCCTATACAGAGGACCCCTGCAAGCATAGCTACCTCTCACAATTAAGGGGATGCATGTTGCCCCCTCCCCTAATCGGTGGTCATCAGGGAGTAGGGTGGGGCTGCCAATGGGGGGAGCTGGTTGTGGTCAGGGAGTAGGGTGGGGCTGCCGGCTAATGCAAAGATCAAGCATTTGCCAGTAGCTGCGCCTTCCCCCACCCCCATTGAGTAACAGCAGTGGCTATGGTCAACACTCTCCCTCACACCACACAACCCACTTAGGCTCACACTCACACCTGTGTTGGTCATAGACATAGACCCTACATACAACCCACTCACGCTCACACTCACAACTGTGTTGGTCATAGACATAGACCCTACATACAGGTCCAACTAATATCTATCAGGGATAGCAAGGGGACTATCACAATGGGTTGACACTACGTGCGACGTAGGTGCTTAAGACTTCAGCCAAGGCAAAACATACGGTAGACACAGTCGTAGTCACAACAACATGGCATCCAAGGGTCAAGCGAGAAGCAAGTAAAGAGAGAGTAGGCACACCAAGGAAAAAACGAAGTAAAGAGAGAGTAGGCACACCAAGGAAAAAACGAAGAAAGACTGACACACAGGTCTCCCAAACGCGACCCTGAAGAGTCGTCATAAAAAATATTAAATGAAGTAACGACTCAACAAGACTGACAACGTGCACTGAAGCAGGGAATTGACCGTCGTCAATGTCCTGCACAATAAAAGCTCAGTCAGCCAGCGCGACCCTACGCCGTGTTTCGGCTGGTCGCCAACCAACCATCATCAGGGGTCAAAAGAACGTCGCAAATTGGAGGACTTGCTCAATCAGTCAACTAACTTAAGTAGTCATGAAACCCGACGCCCGAGACCAAAACCCAAACTTCAAAGTTGTACCAAATCCTAAATTCCAGAGAGTACCAGAATATCCATGCCTCAATCCGCAATCACTAGACTAATGAACCATGACTACGAAGGAGGTCCGGTAGCCCCAGTCAGAAGGGACTAGAATCTCAACGCAGACCTTCAAAAGACAAGAGAGATGAATCGTAGACGAGAAGAGAAGAGAGGGATTCGAACTAGAGTCTCTTGGATAAAAGACAGGAGAAGGGAAGAGCAAAGAGAGCCGGTCCAAAGCCAGAGTTCAGCAAGGAGAGAAGTTCGAGCCCATTGCATACAGCCCATGCTCAGCAGAGAAACTTAAGAATACCCATGCATAAATGTACAAACTATACCCGAGCCCAACTTCTATTACCCTCATCCCTGCAGGTAAAGCAAGACGCCTAGTTATCCCAGATCCCACCATACTTGCTTGAGAAGTTCACCAAGGCCGTATCGAAATAATTATCAAGAAAGTTTCTCAGCCTCAACTCTATCTTCAGAATCAACAAGAAAGTCGTTTCCGCCCCTTTCATCGTAGTATATCTCTTTGCCCTGTGCAAAAAGGTGCTGATAACCGCCAGTTTTTGTTGTCGGTTCGAGTATGAACAGTAGTCCTGCAAGTTCTGAAAGATCAGTCGACCACTCCTCACCCCTCCCTGATTTTTATGGGTGGCTGCACAAAAAATTTCATCCAGCCAATATCTCGCCATCACTACACACCCAAGAAAAGCCCAGTGAGATGCAGAGTCTGTTTTTTCCAAGGTGAGGTTATCGTGGTAACAATTGGAAAAGGTTTGTACAACCTCCTCAGCCCGCCTCCTCGAGTCCTCGTCCCTCTGCTTGTAACGGAGGAAGATCGACACATCATCCACAATACGTGCCCCATACGTAAGGTCTCTCATACCCCTCAAAGAGTTCAAAAACTTAAATTTAGAGTGAGCCGATAGAAGACATGCAAGTGCAGGACTAGAAGCCTTGCCCATAGGTGTGCCAATATGCTATCTCAGAATCAAGCCACACGCATTCACATACGTACAACGCAGCTCAAATTCCACAAAACAAATAATGTCTTCAAAATCAACAGACAACAAACCAATCTGCCCATTCCCCGTTTTTATCTTAGCACCCTTGCCACGTTGTTGTACAAGCACCCCCCGACCTCCATGCAACCGTCAGAAATCCACGACCCATCGAACTGCCTTCATCACCGCATCGTGTGGTAAATTACAAAACATTTCTTTGATGTCATACACCGCCAACACAAAGCCCTCACCCTTTCTCAGATCCTTGTTAGCCGTCGAGATCGTATCAATCAACTCTTCTGTACTCTTCATGTTAAAAATGCTTCTTGCAGGCAGATCCCACAACATCCTGTTAATAGCTCTAGCCACCGTTTTGCTAACCTTCACCCCACTTTCCTCGAACGTCGGACAGATCGGTCTCCACCTACTAACGTCCTTATGTTTGGGGATAACATAACACATCCCTAACCTGCCCTGCGTATTCCATTTCCCCAGCCTGGTCAACCCCAATTCCTCGAACTTACGACCATTATCAACATTCAGCTCCTCCGTCACATCACATCTCTCGAAGCCCAAGTTCTTAACAAAACATCTTATCCATCCCTTTACGGTAAATCAAAGGGCAACACACCAGAGAATCATCCGGGTTATGATCTACCGGGCAACACACGAGGCCCTTAAACCGATTCCTTCGTCCACTCACTTCCGCAGTATCACAGCAACCATGTTCTTCCCTCTTGGTCCTATTAAAACACCCCTCAATCATCTGATCAGATAACATCCCCCCAAATTCCCTCTATGTCAGCCTACAAACACCCAACAGAGAGTCAAAAGCCTTGAGCAGTTGCTTTCTCAAATTACTCATAGAGCATCCATATGTAGGCTTTGGAATATTCCAAACATTCCTTATCCATTATGGCACAAAATCTGCTTCACTCGTCCTAAAACAGACATGCCCATCAACTCGAGTAAAACGCTCGTCCACCCCGGCACAACCACAAACCACATCCTTTTCTCTAGCCATAAAGCGAAAATTGTAGATAATATCCCCAATACTGTGATTTTTGACGAACACCACCTGCATACGTCGGACCACCATCAGTCTCCAAGCCTCCACCAAAACCAACTCCCCAACCAAATTAGCACACAGCCTTCGAATCTCCGTCTTGCACAACGTCTCATCAAAAGTAATTTTCACGGTAAGTCTGTTGCGCACATTGACACCAAACCTTCTCCTAATTACTCCAGACAAAATGCATCGCAGGGTGTAACGCGTGCGTTTCTCTGAAAAGGAACGAACCACACTAAACAACCAAATAAGTTGCTCTAAATCCCATGAAGACAATTGCTTCCTAGAGGGTGGAAAACTCAAAAAATTGACCAGAATAGGTTTGAAGGTATACAAGGAAGAACAGAAGGAGACAATGTTGAAGAATTTCAGTGCCATACCATGCGACAACTATCCTTGCACCCTCCTCAATTGCGATCTCCAACGACAACAACCCACTTCTGAAGACCCGAAACATCTCTTAATCAGCTTCCATTGATTGATCAACAGATCGCCACCCTCACATTCAATCTTCACGTAACTCATTGCGCGCTTCCTACAGTCATTCAATATCCTAATCAGACTAGCCGATGAAAGCCCCTCCGATGTATTAAAGATGAGACGACTCTTTTTGCCATTCTTCTTGCTACCCACCTCACTACAACGGGTCCTCCTGGTTCTTTCCTTTTTTCCCGGCCTCCGTTTTCGACATTTACGGGCTCTATCCCTACTGTTCAGGTGTGGACAAAAACGTCGAATCACAAACTTCTCGATTTCAAACAAGTCCTCCTCTAGACAAAAAAACAAGGGCAGCGCAACTTAGCTTTCCGAACCACACCGTCTTAACCAGCTATACAGTCGCTCGTTTCTTTTTCCTGACGTCACAACATTCTGATTACTGACCCGAAATAGATGTCAGTGCTCCCTCCACCTAACCTTCAACGACCTAGTCGTAACTCCCACATACACATGCTTGACCCACAGAGAAACCAAAATGTAGACCAACGGACGTCACAACTTACCAAATCAAGATGTCGAACCTTCGTCAAGTAGTCAACAAACTTCAGAGCCCAAGGAATCTCCCCTTCCAAGATTAACGTCAGTATCAATCTTCGATACCAACCCTCAACCACACCATTCCTTACGCCAGTCTTCGAGCTAGCCTTGATCTTACGAACAAGCTTCCAACATCTAGCCACGTTCGGGACAACACGTTAGGCCGATTTTGAAGGGATGTCTTCCACCTCTGTGCTGACTTCCATATCACCTAAGCTAGAGGGTATAGATCCCCCTCCCCATCACCCGGGCCATGCCGAGTCGTCTTCATCGTCGTTTCCTTATCTTTCTTGCCGAAGCGTGCATCGACCCTCATCTCGGCAATCTCATCCGTCGTTGCCTCGACAGTCTTGTAAGTAATACCTTCTTGTTTACACAAGGTCTCGAGACCTGACTTCTTCAAGGCCCTTAATCTTTTCCTTCCAATCTGCAGAAATGTGAACCTGTCATTGGCATCAACGGCCGACCTATCATTACTGCCATACGACCGGGTGTAAATCGCGGTCTACCTTTTCTTCCAATCTTCCGCGCGCTGCCGCTAATCTCAGTCGTCGCTTCCAATCTTGATTTGAGATTCGTACCTCCTGTTAGTGCGGCCGCAACCTCCGTCGTTAGTTTCTCAATCCGCTCCCTTAGCTTCACCACCTCGGCTTCCGCGACCAACTTTTCCGCCTCCGCCTCCATCCGTTTGCGTTCTTCTGCGGTCTTTCTCTGCTTTAACACCTCAACCTCCCGCAATGTACAATGCTCCATGTCCCTCAGCTTCTTTAGCTCGTCACGAAGCGCATCAGACGGTGAATATAAAATACGAACCCTGGAGTGGGTACGGTTATCAATTTATGGCGTCGTCATGGATATACAACCCCTCTTGTTCCCGGGCCTTAAGGCTTCATTCATCCACATCTGAGTCTCTTCTGCAGATTGCTCCTTCTCCTTGCGTAATGGTCCAACCTTTGTCTTAAGTCCCAGAAGGAGCTCCTTATCCTTGTCCCTGCCTGCCCGGAGTTCTTGCATCTCCTTCATCAGTACGCTCATCCCATTCTCCAACGGATCTCTCTTAACATTCATCTTTCGTCTGAGTTCTTCATTCTCTCGCAGTAGTCGGTTCACCAAACTCTCACTGCTGGAGCACTCTCGCTCCAGCTTCTTCCTGAATTCCTCATTTTCTCTCCTTAACTTTAAGACTTCTCCATTCTCCGAGCTCTTCTCGTCAGCGACGGGCGCTACAGTCGTAGCCAGCTTACCCCCCGCCGGCACAACTGCACCATACATTGAAACCAACCTATTCTCTAGACGATCTCCGACCCTTGCTTCAAATTCTTCGCGTTCTTTCTGTTGCTCCTTCCTGCTCTCAACTTCTTTCTCTCGCTTCTTTTCTGCATTTTCAGCCTCTGCCTGATCGTCGAAGGCGACGCACCTATCGAGACTTTGCCTCCAAAAACCTCTCCCTGCGCCATAGCCTCCCGCTGGATAAGTATACTGCATTGGTCCATGCTGCACAGGGGCCAGAGGGACCGCAGGAGCCGGCAAGGCCAGGATCGGACGGCTCAAAGCAGCAACGTTAGCTCCAGTCGCAGGCGCCCTCGTTGGATGTGGGCACTCCCTTCGGAAATGTCCCGGAAGTCCGCAATTATAGCAGTTCCTGACGAACGGTGCCGCCATCTTGGTGTAGTGTAGCCACACAAACCGTGGTCCTATTCCTACGGTGGTTACTTACACGAGTGTATGCTTAAGACTTCAGCGAAGGCAAAACATACGGTAGACACAGTCTAGTCACAACAACATGGCATCCGAGGGTCAAGCGAGAAGCAAGTAAAGAGAGAGTAGGCACACCAAGGAAAAAAAGAAGAAAGACTGACACAGGTCTCCCAAACGCGACCCTGAAGAGTCGTCATAAGAATGTTCAATGAAGTAACGACTCAACAAGACTGACAGCGTGCAATGAAGCAGGGAATTGACCGTCGTCAATATCCTGCACAGTGCACAGTAAAAGCTTAGTCAGCCAGCGCGACCCTACGCCACGTTTCGGCTGGTCGCCAGCCAGCCATCATCAGGGGTCAAAAGAACGTCGTGAATTGGAAGACCTGCTCAAAGTTGTAAAAGCTTAGTCAGCCAACGCGACCCTACGCCACGTTTCGGCTGGTCGCCAGTCAGCCAGTCATGAAACCCGCGTAAAAACAGAACCTTCGCGCCCCAGACCAAAACCCAAACTTCAAAGTTGTACCAAATCCCAAATTCCAGAGAGTACCAGAATATCCATGCCCCAATCCGCAATCACTAGACCAATGAACCATGACTAAGAAGGAGGTCCGGTAGCCCCAGTCAGAAGGGACTAGAATCTCAATGCAGACCTTCAAAAGACAAGAGAGACGAATCGTAGACGAGAAGAGAAGAGAGGGATTCGGACCAGAGTCTCTTGGACAAAAGACAGGAGAAGGGAAGGGCAAAGAGAGCCGGTCCAAAGCCAGAGTTCAGCAAGGAGAGAAGTTCGAGCCCATTGCATACGGCCCATGCTCAGCAAAGAAACCTAAGAATACCCATGCATAAATGTATAGGCTATGCCCGAGCCCTACTTCTACTACCTCCATCCCAGGCGTCGGTGGTCATGGTGCATGGGGCTCAAACCCACAACCTCCTAAATGCCACTTGCGTGCATAACCAACTGAGGTAGGCCGCCAGATTCCCTGAAAAGGAATGAAGAGTTCGATGAATGCATACATGTGCGGCCTCGCTCCCCTACTCACTACATACAGAAAAGACAAGAAATATGGCGCTGTATCTTTCCATGTTCTACCGGAAGGTTCATTCTCATAATCTCATTTGCACATCTGTGAGTAGTTGAGCGAGGCCCATGGTCCCCGATTCCAAGAATACGCTTTAAATTTGTTGCCCGGTACCTGGGCCGGCGGTGTAGAACAAACATGAAGGCCGGCTACTAGACCAATCGCCATCGTGTGCATTAGGTGGGAAGTCGTGTTGTGAAGAACATGGCCCCCCCCCAAAAAAAAACGAAAGAAGAAAAGAAAAAGAAAAAAAGAAAAAAAGAAGGAAAAAAAAAAGAACATGGGCCTCGCTCCACAGCTCTCCACATGCACAAAAGACAGAAATGATGGTGCTGCATCTTCCAGGGGAAGATTCGTTCTCAGCATTCTCAATTTCCACATTTGGTGAGTACTAGTGGAGCGAGGCCCCATGTAGTCAACCGGCCGCAGCCCCCATTGCCCTCCATTGCAGCGGCGATTCTCGAGCGAGGTGGTGGGTGATTGGTGTTGTGGGAGATGTGCGGGAAAGCCATGATCGTTACTTTCGTCTTTGCCGCTCTACTACTGTAGGTTTCGATCTCGATCTCTCGACGGATTGAACGTGGCGAAGGAGAGCAGGAGAGCAGGAGAGCAGAGTGGTCGTCATCGCTCATCGCTGCGCCCGCGGATCAGTCTGCAGTCTGATCAGAATGTGCCGCGGAGTAATCGAGGAGGAACCTTCAGAGAAGGATCATTACATGGATACGCTTGCTATGCACGGCATGGCGATTGTCGATGATGGATTGCAGGACCACGGTCCCGACTGCAAGAAGCCGCTTGAAGTTCCCTTGCGTGGAAATAATATGCCTGAAGCTCCCGCATCCTGTCCATTACATAACCTACCAGACACCCCCGGGCCGGCTGATCTCGCCGGAATCAAGGCCGAAGACAGCGATCTTGATTGGTCACATTACCTACCGACTCCGGCTAATTGGTCACTGACACATGGACGGGGCTCGACCACGGGATCATCGTCGGAGACCGGTTCGGGATCGGGATCCCGAGCGCCACGTCGCTCAGGCTCGGTAAGCGAAGAGAGAGAGAGAGAGGGGGGTATACATTTCACATTGTGGAATGATGAAAGGGCGGCACTTGGGAGCTGCGCGCCGGAGCCAGGATTTGGGAAATCAACGGAGGAGATGCCGCCGGGCGTCGAGGTCCGTGAAGGAGACGATGCGTCACAGGAGATTGGTTTTCAGAGAGGAGGAGGAGGAGGAGGAGGAGGAGGAGGAGGAGGAGGAGGAAAGGGAGTCCCTCCTCTGGTCCAAGAGGGGAGCGGTGTCGGCGACCTGGCTTCGAAAATTGCACAGCTGCTCGATGTGTTGCGGTCGGGATCGGGATCGGCGGTGTCTCATGCCGCGTCCGCCGATCGCATCGGGATTGACGACTGCCAGAATGGGACGGCGGAGAGAGGCGGCTATGACGTGATTTCCGCGACTAGGATTCTTGCGCGCGCGACTGCAGAGAGGTGAGCCTGTAGCCTTGTGCGCGCACGCAATCTCTGCGGAACCCCGCTCATCCCCCCTCTCCTCTGGCGGAAGATCTTAATTAATTATCGTCTATTGTGACCATGATCGGTCCTCTCGTATCATATCTCCCCCTACCTTCTTTCCCCGAATACAACGTACGGTCATTATAACTGTATTTGCGGCATCTGTCTGTCTAGATACAGCCATAATGACCGTACGTTGTATTGGGGGGAAGAAGGTAGTACCTTGTGGTGTCGCCAGCCGATCGCTCCACCTGTGCTCCCTCACGAAGATTTGCTGTCCGTTTTTTCCCTCTGCGTATCTGTCTAGTACCCCTTTTTTATTTTACCCCGAACATAACGCACCCTGGAAATGAACGAATATAAAGCCATGTTCCCGGCCCGATACAGTCACTGTATCGGGCCGATACCGATACAGTGAATGTATCGGGAAGACGGCAGTAGTCGATGCTATCATAGTACCGATGTTATACCCCATCATATCCTTTCCGGACCACCTGCCTTCTGTTTTTCTTTCTTTCTTTCTTTCTTTTTTTTTAACGCCCAGGTTGTTGTAGAGGCGGGATGAACCCCAGAGTACCGTGTTGGATTGAAAAAAAAAGAAAAAAAAAGAAAGAAAGAAAGAAAGAAAAGAAGAACCGAGTACTCTCTTCTGTTTTTCATTAGCGAAGGTTTGCCTACTGTTCAAGTTCCCCACGTCGGTGTATCAAAGGAGAGATGCCTACGTACCATCATTTACTGTTGAAATTTCCCACTTCTGTGTATGGAAGGAGAGAGACCCACCTACCATAACACTTGTCATGTCAGATGTCTGCGTACGAGACCTGTGCTAATGCATCGTTTGACACCGTATCCAAAGTAACCAAGTTGTATCTAACTACCTGTCATAAATTTTTGTTCTTTTTTAATACCCTCACGCTCTTCGGAAGAACAAGTATAGTGTACACTGTGCATGTGGTGGCGCTAAATTTGGCATATCCTCTCATAGGCAAACACGGAAGCTAGCTAGCACCGACTTCCCCTCGGACACTCCCTACCACCAGGTGCACAACGTACTAAGTCTTCTCCCCTCCCCGGCCCGACCCCGACCCCGACCCCGACCCGACCCCGACCCCGACCCCGACCCCGGGTCCATGATCTAGTATGCATCCATGCCGTCGAACCCTGCTCTCTATTGTTTTAAGTCTTACGCAGATGCCGTAGCATTACTGAGGTGCACAAGCATGTTAGCGATGCGTCCATTCTTCCACTAGTCTCCGCAGGCACACGAGCGAACACCCGCCCACCCACTCAATAATCTCTCCCGTGCCGGCGAGCCTGAAGCAATTTGTCTCAGCCCGCTTTTTCTCACTAAGTCTTTCCATCTGCGCGCTTCTCGGGGCGGGGGGGGGGGGGGGGGGGGGGGGGGGGCACCGAGAGAGAGAGAGAGAGAGAGAGAGAGAGAGAGAGAGAGAGAGAGAGAGAGAGAGAGAGAGAGAGAGAGAGAGAGATGCTCATCGGAAGATGAGCTAAGCAGAAGACCGAGGGAACGCCCATGTGGTGAGGACTCAGAAAGAGTCAGAATACACAATGCGAAGCAAGAAACGGAGTGATGCAATGTAGCAAAGCGGAAGACTCAAAGATATGACCTGACACATCAGACTCAGACTCAAAACACAGAAGAAAGGTCCCTCATTGTGCACACACATAGGGAAGAAGCCACGGATGATTAAGGGGGAGGAGAGACAAAGATGGAGAGGGGAGAACTTGAAGTCAAGAGTAGAATTCGTAACCGTCCAAAAATAGCCTTCCCATCAAATGTCCAGCCAACGTCTGTCCTCAAAAGGTAGAATCAGATGCTGGGCACTCAGAGGCAATCTCTCTCTCTCTCTCTCTCTCTCTCTCTCTCTCTCTCTCTCTCTCTCTGAAGTAGAAGAAGAAGAAAAAGAAGAACAGTGGCCATGGAGGGGCGGAGAAGAATCAGGAGAAGAAGGAGAAGAAGAACTCTCCTCTCTCGCTCCCCCTGATGATGATGCCACTAATACTGACCAGCGAAGGTGATGACTCCCGATGCAGGTCGCTGCTGAAGGCAGGTCCAATGACAGGTATGAAGCCTACAACCGCCGAAACTGAAACCGCACTGGTCGGAACAGGCATCTGCCTGTTCGCCGGACAAAAAGAAAAGTCCGAACTGACACATCTGAAACAGACAAAAATAGTCCAGACAAAACCCAGCCCCAAACTCACTCAGTAAAAAATAAATGAATAGATGCTGAAAAAGGAAAGCAAATGGGACAAAAGATATGAGCCTAGGCGCAAAACGTTGCAGCTGTGGCCCATCAAGTCACCCAGCCAAAGGGGCTGTGCGGCCTGAGGTCCGAAAAGGACAATGGCGTGTAGGAGCTGTGGCCCACCAAGTCACCCACACAGAGAGAGAGAGAGAGAGAGAGAGAGAGAGAGAGAGAGAGAGAGAGAGAGAGAGAGAGAGAGAGAGAGAGAGAGAGAGAGAGAGAG